TCTCGAGTCTCAACTTTCTCTTTCTCATCCGAAAGCAGGGCTCACTGCAGTTTCCTCCAGAACGTCTATCCTACGCCGCTGATCCCCACAAGATCCCTGTGTGGAGGTATCCCTACCGCCGTCTCACAGATGGGGAAGTAGAGGCACTGACCCCCGTGGAGAGCCGATCCCTGAGGCTCGGGGAACACTGAGCTCCGCTCGCTGTCAGCTCGAAGCCAGGGCTCACGACAGCGGTGCTGCCATCATTGTCTCACTTCGTACAGGGGGAGCCGGAGGCCCAGGCGTCCAAGGGCGGTGGCCCGGGCCCCAGGCCCACCTGCCTCGGCACACGGCTAACCGCTGAGGCCTCTGTGTGTTCTTCATAAAGAACCCGCTCTCCACCGTTAACCTGTGCAAGAACAGTGTCCTCTTCCTAGGTTTGATTCTGCATTATGGGACTTAAAGAAGTAGAGATGGTGAGATGAAACCTGGCACCGTAGATGGCATTTCTGGACATTCCGTTCAGTGCTCCTATTTTTAGCTCCGTTGCCTTTTTCCTTGGCTTTCTGACGGACTGAATTCCTGCTCTCCCCTTTCAAACTGAGTTTATACTCCGGGAGCCTGTCCCTGCCCGAGTCTCCCACCCGTCACCAGTGTCCCCGCTCAGAGGGCATGGGAGGCGGGGAGCAGGAGTGCCCACCCTGCTGGAGGTGCTCGGCTGTCCTCCAGCCAACTTTTCAAGCTGTTCTCCAGCCCAGGGAGCCCCCCCTGCCCTAGTGGTAGCAGCCAGCTGTGGCCTGGCTTAGCCTTTGGGAGCAGGGCCAATGCCTCCTGTGCCAGCCCCTGGCTCATCTAATATTGGGGTGACAGGAACATAAGAGGAGGGGTGAAGGGGAAGCCACATTAAGGGCTAGGCTGCCCAAAATGCCAACCTCCAAGGACACCCAAACTTCACTGGGGTAGGCAGGAAGAGTGGCATCAGCTAACCCAGATTTCCGTGCGTCTCTTTCTACTTAAGCTGCACAGTGTAAATTGTCCAGTCACGAGGCCCACGTGGGGCACACAGAGCCTAGCAGACGTACTGGGCGCCCAGGCCACATGGCCTGTTTCCTCTGGTTTAACTGCAGTGGGCACTGGGAAGGCCCAGCTCCGGGACCTTCAGGGACTCCGCTTTCGTGCCTCAGGCCAGGCCCTTCTCCAAGGGTCCAGAGCAGGCTGAGCAGAAAGTGCTGGGGAACTGGCACCACCGGGTCCTGCACTGAGTAGGTGTACAACTGTGCCAACCTCCCTTTGCTCGGAGTGCATCGCACATGGCTTCTGAGAGGACCTGGCGGGTTGAGCCCAGAGGTAAGCAGCAATGACAAGCATCGCTGTGGCTCCTTGTCCTGCCCTCCTCACCTCCCCACTCCGTCACCCCCTCTCTGGGCCCACCAGCAAATAAGCCACCCACACCCGAACCCTTGCTCAGTCAGAGACAGCTGTGGGCACCTGCTCGTGCACACTGCCCCGCCCCCACCAAGAGGGGCACTGACGGTTGCCTGACAGCCTGAAACAGATGTATCCACGGCCTGGTCACTGAAAATCAATGATTCATTTATTACTTCAACGTCCAATGTTTAATATGCTGCCTTGGAACTTGGCTGGCTCAAAACACACGTAATAAATACTTCATTTTGAGCATTAAGATCACTTAATGGTTATTAATAGAAAGCCCAGTTTCTCCCTGTGTCCTTTCAGGGAATGTGGGAGCAATGTGTGAGGACCAGAGCTCTGAATGGGCTGGGTGGCTGTCCTGGCCAAGTTCTGGTGGGAACTCGAAGCCTCCCTCCAAGGCCCAGCCAGCCCAAGGGGTCCTGGCAGGACAGGCCGGGGCCAGATCAAAGGGGACAGACAGCTGGGGAGCCAGGCCGGCTCGCTTGTGGTGGGAACTGACGGCAGGCCTCAGTCCAGGAGCCTCACCCACCTGGTCCCTGGACATGTCCACCCACCTGGAAGCTCCCTGAGCCCCTGCCACTGGGATTCTCTGGGGGCTTCCTCCCACAGGCATGGTGGGTCATTGCCTCCACTCCAGCGCCTTGCCCCTGCCTGAATGGGGGCGGGGCTGAAAGAGCCAAGGTTTTAATCGGGGATCAGTCTTAGTCTTCCTGGTGACCAACCCCCACCCAGGAGCCACCCAGGAGCCCGCCCACAGTCATCTTATTGGAACAGAAGAGGCCCCTGGAGCTCTTACACTTAGGACTGTCCAGGGTTTCAGGAGCTCCGCGCCCTGGAGAGATGGGCCAGGGCGGGCTGCGGAGACCCACCCTGGACTACAGGACCTCACACACCCGAAGGCAGGGCACCCGCCAAACCCCAGTTCACATGTGACCCGAGAAGGGGGCACATCTCCCACACCACGCCTGTCACTGCTCAGGGGGGCATGGAAGCCCCACACACACACTATTTCATGGCTGGAGGCAGCAGAAGAGGGTTCGAGCAGTAGGAATGGACCCCAATTCACCCCTGCTCGGCTGTCTTCCAGCATCGTAGGTCACATCCTGACACACAGTTCCTGTGTCACGTCTGGGTGCAGGGTCACTGCAAGCAGCAGCCACCTCCGTTTTGTATAAGTGTGGAGGGTCCATCTGATGGCCTTGGGCTGGCCCTGTGGGTCAGGTTTCTTACCAAGTCCTGGGCGGGGAACAGACCACTTAATTCGAGCCGTGGGCAGATACTTGACCAGGAAGTGAGACGGTGTAAACAGCCTGGGGTCTCTGCTCCAGAGCTTTCTGGTCCTGAGCAGTGGTCGAGGCCCTGGGAGAGGCTGGATGAGCCCCTGGGCAGGTGGGCGGCACCTTTGTAAACAACCAGCACAAAGGTGCCTCCCGGCTCTGCGGCTGCCAGATGGGCAGCACCCGGCCTCCTTTGAAGTCTGACCCCTGGCGTAGAGTCTGAGCTCCTGTCCCTCCATGGCTGGGGGCAGACAGAAGGAGAGCCCCACCCTCAAGCTGCCCCTGGCGGGGGGCTTAAATTATACGGTGGTTTTACAAACAGGCTGGACACACCTGGCTAGAGCCGGCTGTCCCCTCACCCCATCGCAACTCCTGTTTAAGGTCTCCAAGGACTCCCCCAGGCTCCTGCACACACCTCCTGGTTCAGAGTGCCCTGGGGTCCCCAGAACCCCCTCCTCTGACTTGTGAGGCCTGCAGAGAAGATGGGGACAGACCTGGGACAGCACTGGGTCTTGCTTCTCCTGGATGGAGCAATTGTCTCTAGCCACAGGCTTGCACACCTTGTTCTGCAAGACATCCTTCCAGAGGGTAGTGTGATCTCAGGGGTCGGCTCCGCTCCACACAGCTGGGGAACCCCTCCAACTATATGCAGGATTCTCCCTGGGGGAGGGTACTGAAAACACCACCCCCAATGCCCCTGTTGGGAACCAGCTACGTGTCAGACAGAGTCCACGGAGCCTGGAGGTCTTGAGTCAGAGACTCGACCTCCCCCACAATCTCAAGGAATTAGGCTTGCATTGTGTTTGTGCAGCTCGGGGCTAAGTGTGACCCAGTGTACCTTGAAATACCTGAGATCACAGACTGGGTGTTTCTGGGTGGGCCTGGGAACTCCTGTTGTCATCAAGGCAAACTAATTCTATACAGCATTGTTGTAGCCCTGGGCATCATATCAAGAAGATGCTATTTTTTTTATCATTAAACTTTTGCTGTGAGGTATAAAAGGCATGTAATGAAGCATATCGGGCTGATCCTGCCGAGGACAGTCCTCCTGATCCCACATCCGCGTCGTTGTCTTCATTCCCACCGCTCGAACTCAGGGAGTCTGCTCTCCAGGCTGGCTCCTGGCATGCCCCCATATGTCACATGTCCCATACATTCCATACTTTCTGCTCACGTTCCACAAAATGTGCCACCTGGGACGATGTTCCTATGGGTGTAACATCCTCCCTGCTCCCGGGCGGAGCTGGAGCCCAGATCAAGTGGCATCACTAACTCCTCTGAGGCGTCACAAGACAATCTGATTTCTTTAGTCTTTGGGGAGCACCTTCTTTGACAGGAGCTTCTTTCCACAAATCCCGCTGCCCGGTGGGTCACTTGGACATGCCGGTGTTATTAAGCATTGCACCAGGAGGAAACATGAAAATAAAAATGATTCAAGAGCATAGGCTTGTGATTTCATCCCATTTCCTAATAGGGTTGTTCTTAAATGACCCCCAAGCTTTGCCCCTACTCTTTGGGGGTGTTCATAAGTATATATACCTATATGCATTTGTGTGCATGTGTTGGTATATGTGTGTATATATGTAGGTATGTGTATGTGTGTGTGCATGTGTGCCTACATGGGTTTGTGTGCACGGGTATGTACGTGTGTGTGTGCATGTGTGTTGGTACATGTGTGTATGCAGATATGTATATTCACGGGCATGTGTGTGTATACGTGCTCGTACACACTTCTTGTCAGGTGGCGGGGGCGATTCCTATATATCGAGTCCACCCAGTGGAGTCAAAGCAGAGGTGGGATCTGGGCCAGCAGAGGCAGGTGGGCTTGGTCCATTACCTGGGTGTCCCAGATGTCTGCGACACTCAGGGCTGGAGGGTGATCTCCACAGCCACCTGTTTCTGCCCTTGGACACTGTTCCAACAGGACCAAGTGCACAGTGAGCAGCACAGACCCAACCCCCCGACACCTAAACACCAAGTGCACCAGGGCCTTTGGTTTCACCTCTGACGTCACGTCACCACCACCCCACTCCTACGCGTGTTCATGAGCATGTGAGCACACGGGTGCATGTGCACTGCGTGCCTGTGCTGGCACCTGGATGCTCCGAATTCAGGGTCATTTAAAAATTAAACTGCAGCTGGATGCGATGGCCCGTCTGCGCCAGGCTCCTCCGGTTCTCGGGGGGCCGAGCCGCGTGGTCGTGGGCCCGGCTCAGCGTCCCCTGCCGCCACTGCCACCCCACGCAGAGCACAGACACGTCAGCACGCGGTTCCCGGAGCACGAGTGACACCACAGCTCTTTCAGCTTCATTTATTTTTCTCAGACAGACAAATGTGACCCTGGAATAGCTCTTGGTTCTAACAAGAGTAGTTCTTTATAAAGAAGAAAAAGGGGTCCTTGGTTTTCTCCATAGAATACATTTTTACAAAAAATAGCTTTTGATGTATACATGCCTACTTTGGAAACCCTTTCGTCCTTGATGGCTTTTAAGACCCATATATAGGCAGAGTCATGTCGTAGACTTGATGCACCAACTAATTTCCCCTCTGGCCTTGGCCAGATGATGGTGCTCCTTCCCCGTTCTCCTCCGGAGGCAGCCAGCAGGGAAAGAGAGGCGTGCCAAGTGCACTGCGCAGAGCAGGACGGGGAGCAGCTGGGGCAGGTGACAACCCCACAGGCCAGTGAGCCGAGGTCCTGCACTTCCCTGGGGGAAAATCTATGCAGACTAGAGACAAAGGAACAGAAGGAGGCCGACAGTCACTTTCTCTTACGCTGTGGATAGTTCATCCCTCTCTTTCACAGTTGCAACTTCAGTAAACAAGTGAGATGCCTGCAGCATTTTCTCTGGAAAATACCGCCACTCAGGCAGGCTCACACGCCCACGCACAGAGTGATCTCCGCAGAGCATGGCAAACACAGTCCGTTTGGGGGGGGACACAGGCTTTTAAAGTCTAAGTTAGCTCCCCCCGCCCCCACTCCCCAGCTCCTATAGACCAAAAATACCTCTGTCCTCAACTACACAAAGGTTGTGAGTAGCAAACTTGTAAAAATGAAGTGTACAAAAGGAACGTCCATATAACGTTAATATGTGCACCCTGTATACAATTGATCACCCTTTGAAACTGGCCAGTGGTCAGCTATGGCAGATTGTCAACAATAGAAAAAGACCTCAATGTCTATCACACACACTTGAGTCGATGGTTTGTGTGGTTTTCCAGAGAGGTTTTCATTTCCAGCGACAGTACTTGCGGACGGTCTTCATGTCTAACAGTTAGTTTATGGTACATCACTTGCTGGTGGTCTTTATGATTAGAAGCCAGTTGGATTCCCTGGCATTTAGGCAAGTAACATTCGATTGTCACAACGTACAGTTCCGAGACAATAAATACAAGCAGATCAGATGCATTTCTTCATTGTTATCAAGTAACTCCAGTTTAATTTAATACAATTTAGTGCATTTCAGTATCTCATTCACAGCTTTGACTTCTGTCCAAGTGCTTAGGCAACAAAAAGTCAAGAAACGAAAGTTTATACGAGAAAAGAAAACTCGAGGCGAACTTGCCATTACAAAGCTTAAAATTTTAGAACAACCCGATTGTCTTTGAAAAGAACGCAGGGCTGCCGCTGGGGCTGCCTGGCGTCAGCTTCTCTGGTCATTTCCCAGGCTCTGTGAAAGTGATCCTGTCCTTTCATTTCCCGAGTGGTCTGTGAGAAGGCCACCACTGTCACTGAATCATGGAGTGGCAAATGCTTGTGCTAAAACTTCATTCGCATGGGTCCACCCCCTCAATCAAACAGAACACAATGGGACTCCTTCTATCCCCAAACTGTCCCTGTGTTTTTGCGTCCTGGCCCTGATATGCAAGAATGTGAAACCCCGATGTCCGCATGCACCCTGGCAGCCCCAAGCAGGGTTTGGGATAAAGCCTGGTCCAGTCCAAGTGAGTGGTGTAGCCGGAATGGGGGGGGGGGGGGTGGCATGGCACCAAGCCTGGGCCTTCGGAGGGGCTGGCCTTTGCTTCAGGAGCTAATTCACTAGACAAAGGGAAGGCACGTGGGCCAGGGACGTGCTGTCTCCAGAGAGAAGGCGGGCGGGCGAGGCAGGCCCGCTGTTTCAGAGCTGAGCCTGGTTACACGGCAGGAGAGTCGGAAGCTACATCACACCATTGGACGCCGAGGGTTGTGCCGAGTGTCGCGTGCTGGGGGAAGCATGCGTTGCTGTGAGGAGTTCGCAGCGTGAGGTCACGCTCAGGGTCGAACAATTCAGCTGACAGTCAGCGGGGCTGAAAAGATTCTATTTGGCTTATCCTATAGGTGTCTCGGGCAGAGACAAAGCAACATGCAGAGAATTACTCCTTCTCCTCCCCAAACCTGACAGTCAGCAGTCACATGGGTGGGGACGGCCTACAGACAGCTCTTGAGTCGCACGTGACCACACCCACTGCTTCTCTTCAGACCAACACGTGCTCAGTAACTGAGTTAGTGTAAGGAGGGCTCTCCTGCCTCGGTGCACGGGGTGGTGACAGGGACGGATAAGGTAGGTTCAGTACTGATCAGTGACCACACCTGCACTGTTTTGTTTTTTTATAAGAAAGTGCCATGTGCACTGTTGCTTTGTGATTTCGTGGTTTCTATATTCAGAGCTCATCGCTTCAGACAGACCCTGTGCTTCTTGAGGACAGCGACCACAGAGCGCCTCAAACAGGGCGGCCGGTGCCACTCCTTCCTCGGGTTAGAACTCTCGTCAGTGCGCAGCTACTTCACACCCCACCAGGCTCCAGTCCGTAGAAAGAGGGTGCACACCGAGCAGTCACACACCTACGACCTGCTCTCCCTCTGAGCAGCCAAGCCCTTCCCCAGTGAGCTCAGTGAGTCACAAAGACCCCGGAGAGGGGAGCCAGGAAGTCCCCAAGCGCTGGTAGCTGCTACGAAGTCACCATGGAAACATCAGTCACCTTCGAAGCCCCTGGATCTCCCCGGAGAGGGCCCGAGGAACTCTGGCCTTCCAGCTGGACACCTGGGGAAGGTCCACCAGCCAAACTCCATGCACTGGGCAGGGTCAGGATGCGTAGGTGGAAGACGACAAAGGACTTGGAACCTGCACCTGAGAGTGGGGCCTTGGCCTGAGCTGAGTAACACCGAGCCAGTGACCCCCCAGCAGGAGCAGGGGGCTGGCTCCAGAGGCACAGGGCAAGCAGCAGAGTCTACTCCAGGAGGGAGGGTCAGCAATCCCCTCCCAGGCCTTGACTGACCCAGGGCCCAGTGTGCAGGGCCCCCTTCGGGCCTGGAGCGCACAAGGCAACTGCAACCAGCAAGGCCTGTGCCAACCCTCAGCCTGAATCTGATGGGACAGCATCAGCAGCGGAGCTCAGTAGTGGGTGCAAAGGCAAAGCATAGAGAAAAGTGCAATTTATTAAATGCAAGAATTAAAGGCGTCCCCCTCCCCTTTTCCTTCTGAAGTAAATGAAAAGCAAGATCAACCCTCTCAAAAAAAAAAAAAGGCCTGAACATTCATGGTGTAGTTTTTATTGCTCCCAAAGGGCTTGGTGTTCAGTGGATGAGCTGATCCGTATTGAATCAGAAGGAATCACTGAGGTTTGAAACCTACACCCTGGTCTCCGTCTCCATTCACGGAGGAGTCTGCACCGCTCGTGAACCGACTCCATGTAGAATTCACACACCACGTGTTCATTTCAGGGGGGCGGGACTTATCTGGCAAACCAGGACTATTAGCCAAGTGGTAAAGGATCTAACTGTGCCTTTTCCAGGAGATGGCTCTGCCACCTGTTTCTTTTGAGATGTCTTCGGAATTAGTGACTTACAAAGGGCACAGAGGAACCCAGGAAGACAGAGGAGCAGCAAGCTGTGGGAAGACGGGTCAGCTCTAAGGTAGCCGCTCACCCTGGGGCGGGGGATGTGCTTTAGCACGGAGGCAAGCACCCTTCGTTCTAAAACGAAAGCAGGTTAAGCTGTCCTGTTCTAACCCTTCGGCCCCCCAGGGCCTGCCCGCATTCAGCCCCGCAGATAGCAGCACCGGGTCTCGGCCTGCGCACTGCTCGGCATCTGCCCTGACGCCGTCTCCAAACCTAATTCAGGACAGTGCTGTTGTTTATAAAGAATTTACGCCATCCCGATACATCTTCCCGACATACTTAGGGCCAACACATTATTACTTTTCCAATTTAGTGGCTAATTTTTTTATGCCTCTTTCCTCTATTTGTTTTTCTAGACATTCAACCTACCTCTATTCAGAAGGCTCGTTACAGTGTATCAGAGATAATGCCCAGTATTTTTCTTTCCTTTGCTAAAAAAAATGAGGGGAATGTGACTTTAAAAAAACAATTTGGAAGTTTCAGGAAGTCCAGGGGGTTTGCAGTGGGGTGACTGAGCGAAGCCCCACGAGGAGGTGGGAGGGGCCCTGTTTCCCGCTCCTCCATCTGCCCCAGCAGCGTCCAGCCCAGCCAAGGCTGCGTTAAGCACACCTCCACCTGCGGAATACACACCTCTCCAGGGCCAGGCCTGAAAGGGTGCTGAGAGGACACAGCCAAGCACAGGCTGTTGAGACCCTCGGGAGACACTCTGCTGGGCACCTGTGGGTGTGGGCACCATCAGGCCAAGAGGCCACCCACCTGGTCAGAGGCAGGCCCTCTTCAGGGACACTTGTGCCTGCTCTGAGCAGGGAGGGTGGCCCAGGAAGGGGGGCAGGCTCACCACCTCTCATTTTCATCAGGGAGCTGAGAGACATCAATAGATCAACTGTGAAAATAAAATCTCCAGAAGCCAACAAGCCCTGTGTTAACAGTCTGTGACCACCTTTGGGAGACAGAGGGGTAGGGGTGGAGACATTGCTTTCTGAGCAGCATTCATGGGTCCTGGGGCAGTGGGCCAGCGGTCTCCCTCCAGCGTCCTCAGTGCCTCTGAGCCCCCAGCTCCTAGTCGCTGGGGCACAGGCCACCGGCTCAGTGTGGCCTCCTGCCCAGCACCCAGCAGAAGGACTGCAGTCTGATGGCCACAGGGAGAAAGGGGCAGAGGAGCTCTGGGTGCGGGCAGAAGGCTACATCTCACATCCTCAGGAATTTACACCCAGGGTTAGGTAGCAAACAAGCACAGCATTTGCCTGAAGCCAGCCCAGGGCGGGGTGCCCAATCCATCTGACACCTAGTGTGTGCTTATCACCCAGAGAACTCTCTCCACAGCACCCCTACCCCCCACAGGTCCCCACCCCTAATGCCTGGAAGCGAAGGTGCTAGCTGCCTTGGGGGCCAGAGACCCTGTGACATGACACCTGACACCCGTACCCAAGAGGACTGGGGAAGAGTTTGCTGCTGGCGGCGAGGGGAAGAGGCAAGGGGCCAGGGCGGGCTCCCGAAACACCGGTCAAAACAAAAATGGGACCTAAGTTTAAGAAGAGAAAGCATCAGAGGCTCTCCCTGGCCAGCAGAGTCCTTGAGAGATGACGCTGGGGGAATCGGGCCCCAGGCGCCACCTCCCCAGAGCGGACGCGCCGGAGCCGGCGCTCCCAGGGGGCCCGCGGTGCGGTGCGCTGCAGCCCACTCCATCCCGCGCATCTGCAGGCCTTCCGATTCCTTTACTCTTGGCTCAAGTTTATTGGTTAATATTAGTCACCAGTTAATAAGAAAAATAGTTTCTAAGTGTCTTTTTTTCCTCTGTGTGTGTGGTTGTTTTTAATTGAGTTAATCGGACACCACCGTCAGGTTACGTGTGTGTTCAATCACAGCCATTAATTATTCCTTTTTCTTAAATTCTTGGTTTCCGTAGCTGGAGCCTTTTTCTATTTCAGTTACTCCTATTAGTCGGCGGACTCCAAAGGAAGCTTTAAAACAGGAGAGAGGTGAGGTTAGATGGTTCAACCGGGAAAACTGACTGCAGGGCCCGTGGGGGTGGCAGGCGGCCCCTCTCCCGGGCCTCCCTCTGCCCGCGCACGCCCAGTCAGCCTGTCCCCACTGAGCAGGTGGCTTCTGCAGCAGAGTGGCCAGCGCCTGCGATCTGAGGCCCGCGAGGCTTTGCTTGGACCCCGGCTCCTGGACACCTCCCAGGGCGCTGGGCCGTCTCCAGGCCAGGCGCCCGGGCTGGCAGCTGGCACATGCAGGCCCCGCCCGATCTCAACCTGTGTGATCATTCACATTCCTCACCTGCCCCGACAAAGCCCAGGAACATCAGGATCAGCAGGGGAGATCCACTTGCAAAGACGCCCAGGGCGAAGCTGAACAGAGGAGACAGGAGAACTGTGGCCCAGAAGAGGAAATTCAGGAGCGTCCACGGCCGTCGGGCAGGTCTGAACGGCTCCCCTGGAAACACGCCCTTCTGGTTGTACATCTCCTGCAAGGCGTCCTGCGAGAACCCACGGAAAAGCGGAGTCGTTACATGTGTTGGCCGCGAAACGCGGCTCGACCCGGGAAGTACCAGAGTGGACGGACCGTGTCTGCAGGTGGGAGCTGAAGTGGGCGTGGCCTTCGCCGAGAACCTTGGCTGCTTGTGTCAAAGCTTGTAAAAACACAAACCCTGTCACCTGACACATTTCCTAGGAAAATGATGAGTCTGGGCGTGGCACAGGACGAGCACTGTCACCCCATGGCTGGCAGTGTGAACCAGGACCCTCATCATCTCCTGCTGTCTCAAGGGCAAGGGTGGCAGCGGCCTGGGCACAAGTCCTGCCATCACCCTGCCAGCTCTGTCACCCACAGAAAGTTTCTTCACCTCTCCTTCCTCCACTTCCTGCAGGCTAATGACAGGGGAGAAAGGAGCCATGAAGATACGGGAGGTGACACTCACCGGGCATCGTCAGCAGTAGCAGGTGACGTGCTGTGCACACCAAGCACGGGCCGGCTAGGGAAGGGGACACCCGACAGGACAGTCTTCTCCGCAGCCACCCCAGAGAACGTGTTAACAAGGGGGTGCACCCATGATATTTGAAGTACAGATGAGTCTATTTAAACACAACTACGCCTGGCGGAGGATCTGGACAGGACCCCGGTCTTAGAAGGATGCAGCCCCACATGACCTTCATCACCCAGGGGAGCACAATGTCATCTGCTGTTATTTTTTTCCATTTTATTTTCTGCATTCAATTTTCCATAGTTGTGTTTCGTGTTATATAAAAATGTGCAGGGGGCTTAATAAACACAGCCTCGTCCAACCCGTGGAGAGGCGACAGTCTCCCCACCGTTCGAGGCTGGAGTGGTCAGAGGCATCCATGACCTTCATGCCTGCATGTACACCTCACTGGAAGGCCCTGCCCTTCACAGTCCCCAGCATGTTTCTGCCATTTTCAAGCTCATGTGGCCATCTCCACTCTGACACCCTGACCCTAAGCAGCCAGGACCTGCCGCCCTCCTGCCCACAATGCACAAGCCTCTCAGAGTGTTTATAGTGGGTGGTTGTCAGGGTGAACCAGGACCCGAGACAACACTGCAAGACCCGTAGGCAGGGCTTTCCCACGTCTCCGCCGGGCGGCAGCTCACCACCGTCTGAATTAGAAACTGTGTTTTACACTGTGACCCAGTGTCCAATCCACGTATGCAGCACATTTTAGGACACAGAGCTCACCCAGGGCATAGGGAGCATTTGTACATGTTTCTACTCTGGTCTGCTTCACGTGCGTGCCCCCCCCCCCCCATAACAGCAACATGGGAACAAGCTGATGTTCACAGAGAGGAACAGGCATCAGCAGATGGGAGAGCATAATGTAGTATCTAAAAGGGGTGAATTCGCCTGGCCGGTGTGGCTCAGTGGATAGAGCGTCGTCCCATGGACTGAGAGGTGCCGGTTCAATTCCCAGTCAGGGCCCATGCCCGAGTTGCAGGCTCAATCCCCAGTGGGGGGTGTACAAGGGGCAGCTGATGGGTGTTTCTCTCTCATATCGATGTTTCTCTCTCCCCCCCCAAAAAAAATCAATATAAGACATTTTAAAAACAAATAAAAAAATAAAAGGGGTGAGTTCAATCCATTTATGTCACTGTCAACAGATATAAAAAACAATGGTGACTGAAAAAAATTTAAAAATAGAAGACACCACAGTATGGTGTCCTTTGCATAAATTAAAATATAAGTGACACACATAAAAACTGAAAATGTTATATATTTCAGTACTATAGAAAAACATAATAAATAATATAAAAGTGCCCCCAATAAATCAGATTGATTTGCATCATTTGCTGCATTTGCTTGCCTCAGATTATTTTGGGAAGTAAACTTTCTGAGAGAGGAGGCCAGTGTCCCTTCACCTGCAGAAGTCACGATGCTCCTGACCTGGGATTTCCATTCCCACGCACAGTTTCACTCGCATCCCACAAGTGTGTGTCTGTAACAATAATACACAGTGTGCTTGCCAGCTTCGCAATTTTCTGTGAGTAGCATCACACCACACACCTACTGTGATCTGCTTTTCTCACACTATTTTCTCCAGGTTCAGTTATGTTGTTACTATGTAGTTCATTTATTTTAACTGAATAACAGCAAATGAATATATAAATACAATGTATCTATTTCCTAATAATATACTTTTAGGTCATTTCTCATTTCCTCCTGAACAAATACTGTTGCTCACAACTGTCACGTTGTTTTCAGAGTTCCAAATGTTTCAAACCTCAGGAAAGTTCGGAGATGCATTCCACTTTGCCACCTGGTGTAGCTGCCCACGTGCCTGATGTGCACATTCTGTTTGTTTCGTTTAGGTTTTCTTTTCCTTCTGGAGCAGTGGTTCTCAACCTTCCTGATGCCGCTACCCTTTAATACAGTTCCTCATGTTGTGTCTGGGCGTGTCTGCATGTGGGCGGGCCCGCCTGGAGACAGATAGGAGTGGTGTCTGGGTTCCTAAGACCATCGGAAATGTGTTTCCAGATGGTCTTGGGCAACCCACAGGTTGAGAACCACTGTTCTAGAGAGAGTATTATGTTCTTTGAAATTATATGTTCTATCTAAGTTTTTAAATGTGTGAGCATAAAGCTAGTCATACTGTTCTCATATTATTTTCACTCCCTCTTTGGTTGGGTAACCTTTTTAAATTCCTATTAATGTCATCACGCTCTCTTAACTGGTCGGTCTGGCTCAAGGCTTTCTATGTTATAAAAGTTTTACAGGAAAAGCTTTTGGTGCAGATGATTAACTTTTTTGTAGCTGTGCTTTCTGTTAAAATTATTTATGCTGCCCGGCCAGCGTGGCTCAATGGTTGAGTGTCAACCCATGTACCAAGAGGTAGCTGGTTCAATTCCCAGTCAGGGCACATGCCCAGGTTGTGGGCCCGATCCCCAGTGGGGGACATGCAAGAGGCAGCCAATCGATGTTCTCTCTTATCAATGTTTCTATCTCTCTCTCCATCTCTCCCCTCTCTCTAAAATAAATAAAGAAAAAATATTTTAAAAAATAATAATTTATGCTATTTTTATTCTTTGTTCTACTCTCTGGGTTTACTCTGTTTTGTGTGTACATGTGTGCACATGTATGTGTATGTGTGTGTATGGTTATTATGGGATAAAATGTGTAAGACTTTAGAAGCGATTCTGATGCACAGTCAAGAGATATGTCTACTGTTAACCTCATGACCATTCCTTCGTGGGCAGTATGTCTTTTCTCTCTCGGTGATTCTAAGATCTCTGTCTTTGGTGTTTTGCAATTTCATTGCCAAGCAGGGGTAAATTTCTTTTATTTATCTTATCTCAGCCTTGTATTTCCTGAAGCTGATGAAATCCATGTTCATCAATTCTAGGAGTTTTATGGTTATCAGCTGTGACAACTGCTGTTCACCATCCCTTCCACTTTCTCTCTCTGGACCTTCTAATGGTTACTGACCGGACCGCTCAGTCTATTCTCATAGTTTTACTTTCTCTGGGTTGCATTTTGAGTAATTTCTTCTAAGTCTTCCAGTTTTCTAATTTTCTCTTCAGCTGTGTCTCATCTGATATTTAATCTGTTCAGATTTTACTGTCAATGACTATTTCTCATGCCTATAAATTCTACTTGGTTTTTCTCAACTCTAACTCATTTTTTCCCCTAGGTCTTCCTCTTCCCAGTTCCTTCTTTTCTGCTTAATCATTTCAAAATTACCGATTTTAGTCTCTGACAGTTCCATTCACTGAGGTTTTGGGAGGGTTTAATTTTTCTGTTTGTGTGTCTTGCCCATGATGGACTCTGGCCTAAGCTCCTCTCCAGCAGAGTTCTGCCTAAGGAAATCTTGGGCAGCTTAGGTTTGGAGTCATGTTCTGCCAATTCTGCACATGCTTCTCCAGAGAGATCTGCCTGGAACCACTTTTTATGTTGATACTTTGTTCTTGAACTATGCTGTCAGGGTAAATTCAAACCCCGAACCTGTTTGGGGTCAGGCCTGTGACTGTGCCTGACCCGGGGACCCTCTGGGACCAGAGGAAAGCTTCACGGTGACTTCTCTGTGCAGGCACATGTGTTCATTTCACCTCTGAGGGTAAAACTCTCCGAAGGCCCAGCTTCACCCAGGGTTTCCACGTCTAACTTCTGCCTCAAATAAGGTCAGACCCTGCCTTCCACTTCCACGTCGGCACTAAAACTCAAGACTTCAGGTTCCGGAGACCAGCAGGGTCAGCTCACAGGATCACCACGGGTTTTCAGTTCCACCTCCTTTTTTCATCCCTAGAGATTTCCCTTATTTTCTTGCAAGCTTTTCAATGCATTTAAAAGGATATTTGTTGTGCCCTGGCCAGTTTGGCTCAGCAGTTAGAGCATCAGCCTATGGACCAAAGAGTTGTGGGTTCGATTCCGGTCAAGGGCATGTGCCTCAGTTGTGGTTCGATCCCTGGCCCTGGTAGGGGTCGTGTGGGAGGCAACCAATTGATGTGTCTCTATCACACTGATGTTTCCTTCTCTCTCTCTCTCTCCCTCCCTTCCTCCCACTCTGTCTGAAAATGAATGGAAAAATATCCTCGAGTGAGGATTAAAAAATATATATATATACATATATATATTTGTGCCATGGCTGGTTTGGCTCAGCAGTTAGAGCATCAGCCTGCGGATCAAAGGGTCATGGGTTCGATTCCGATCAAGGACACATACCTGGGCTGCAGGTTCGATCCCAGGCTCTAGTCAGGGTCATTTGGGAGGCAACCAATCAATGTGTCTCTCTCTTTCACTGATGTTTCTCTCTCTCTTTTTCTCCCTCCCTCCCTTCCACTCTCTCTAAAAAGTCCTTCCCCTCCACTCTAAAAAGCAATGGGAAAATATCCTCCAGTGAAAATTAACAAAACAACAACAATAATAATAAAAGGATATTTGGTATATACTGAAAGGATCTTCTGTTTATCTAAGCCTCCCTCAATGCTGAAAACAGAAATCGAGTATCCTGTATGTTTGTACGTATAAAATAAACCAGCACTAAGAGGCAGGGGTGAGACGTGCCATGGGGGAATGGAGGTGGTGCTGAGTGTGAGCATAAGAATCTTTACACACTACTTATATTGTGTTTTTTCTTGTAAACCGTATATATGCACATATATACATCTGATATATGTGTGTAATTTCTTTTCTTTCTTTTTTTTTTTTTGTCCTCACTCAAGGACATTTTTCCATTCTTTGTTCAGACAGAGCGGGAGGGAGAGAGAGAGAGAAAGAAACATCGATGTGAAAGGGACACATCGAGTGGCTGCCACCCGCACGTCCAACCAGGGCCGGGGACAAACTGCAACCGAGGTACGTGCCCTTAGCGGGAACCGAACCCAGGTCTCTCTGTACCGCAGGCCGATGCTCCAATCGCTGAGCCAAACCGGCCAGGGCTGTGTGTAATTTCTTTTACATGAAACAAATGTGATTAAGTGTTATTCGCCATGGTTACATAAGCACTGTTATCCTTATACTTCGCTCTAGTTTGTTAATTTCTCAAAGGTTAAGAAAAAGGACTGGAAAGATGTATTTGAGACCTGCATAGACTCCTGATACCATAGGGAGTCACCATGCCAGCCGCCTGCCCCACCAGCGGCCCCTGGGAAACCTCTTCCCGAGACCGCGGGGGCAGAGCTGCGTGCCTTTACCTTCTCCTGGTACAGCTTATGAAGCCACTGAGCCGCTTCCTTTTCGTCCTGCGGGATCACCTCCAGAGGGAATCTCCTGTCGAATGAAGAAGAGTGAGAGCGAAGTGAACACCTAGAGGACAGCACACTGACAATGGGGAAAGCCCGAGCCTCGGCATTCACCGCTGGCCGGCGCCTTTGGCTGGTCAATCTCTCTCCATTTCCCAAAACACACAAGCATCAAAGTAACGCTCCCCGGGCATTCCCCCAGGGGTGGCCTGGGGCTCTGCTGGGCGGCAGGTGGCCTGGGGGGCTGAGGCTGTCTACATGCACGAGGTGGTGGCAGCATTTCACAAGGGGTCCCCCTGAGCGGGGCAATGAGCAGATCGCGCCCCTGCTCCTCTGTGAAGGGTGCAGGAGTTTCCGTCTTTCTCAACAGCTCACTCTTTGGAAACAATCGTGACTCACAGTCTTTCATTAGGCAAAGAAGGTTGTGTATTTCACCAATGAAATCTACTTGCTTCAAATATGAAAAGCAATAGAGATTTGAAACTTTAATCTCAATGACCAAACAGCTGACTTCAGTTAAGACACTGATTTATTTATAAACCTAATCTCCAGCTGGATTAGCAGCCCCGGGAATGGAGGTGCCTACCTCGTAAGATTAGCAGGACAAGAACCACGTTCCATGGCAACTACCGTACCTCGAGATCACCAGCACACGTGAGCTAAAATCACTACCCAGCGAGCGCAGGGCAGACAAAGGTCCTCACAGGGGCCTGGCTGCCACCTCGGAGGGGCCCACAGTGCGAGAAGAGCCAGGCGAAGTGTCCCTGGCCGGACATAAATATCCACGTGTTAAGATATCTCAAACGGCTTGCTCTAAACATCGAGAGCTTTGCTTTATGTGGGTTACGCCTACGGATCTTTGCCACATTCAAAACGGAAACTGAGTCTTTACAGGTACGAACACTGCCAGACCGGGGGCACCGCTGCACGCTCAAAGGACGTGAAGGCAGAAGAGCTGCAAGGAACCGAGCCAGTCCGCCTGTGGCCCGCAGGGGCTCGGAGACCTCCAGCAGGCCCAGGCTGTGCCTTGAGAACCGGTGCCTGGAGGGTTTGCCACCGGTACCATTTCAGTAAGAAACAAAGTCCAGAAGGGTTTGTCTACAGAGAAATGACACCCTGAAAGTTTCCAACGCACTTGACTGTTCTCCCCGATTTTCTATACACAGTACACATGCCACGTACAGGCTCTGCGTGTGTCTGTGAGATGCACCGTGAAACATATAAAATAAGAATTTTAAATGAAATAAAAATAAATACAAATAGAAGCATCTGCCTCCGGGGCCTGCCTCAAGCCACTGCAAGGACGCTGGCCAGCAGGGGCCACCATCCAGGCCGCTGGGCCCCGAGCGCTCCACCAGCAGGGGTGGAGAATACGGCAAACACCTCCCAGGCCTGAGCCGCAGCTTGTTGGATGAGTGTGTTTTTTAGAATCACTAGGATACTGTTTATACTAAGAACCCAAACAGTAAGGGACAGAAACAGTGAGCCGAGGCTTTCAGAAGTCCTGAGACTGTATCTATTAACATAGGATTAGGTAGAATAAAGCCCCATGTTTTATGCAATGAAGAGGAACATGAACAGCTAGGATTGGTGTCCACATGGGGGCCCGGTGCAGCCTGGGGGTAGCCACGGGCATCCACTTCGAGCTGGACCCAGGGGTCTCCCCGACTTTGCCACCTGCCAGCTGTGACCCCAGGTACCTGAGACTCTTCGACCGCGACCCACCCCTTCCTACTCAGGACAAGAGCAGGACCTGCCTCCAAGTCCTGTGAGGATGACCAGACCAGTGAGGGCCTGACACAAAACCCACCACTGCTGCCATTGTCCTGGACCACGTCCCGTGTTCTCTTGAGCCACAGCCGGAGACAGGATGACCTGGTTTCCCACTCCGGCTCTCAGGACCGTGCAGGGCCCAGAGCGGTCACCCAGCCCCTGGCGGTTTCAGCCCCCTGCCAGGGGTTCTAGAGATCTAAGGGTGGGGACTCTGGGCTCCCCCACCCCAGGATGGCACATGAGACTCTGTACCTACTTTGGGCTAGTCTACAGCAAACTTCAAAAGGAAAAGAATCCAGCTGATGACTTGGTTCATAAAATTATTCCTGGAAATGTCCTAGAGTGTGGCCAGAACTGGGCGGTGTTTTTTAGAAACCGATACTGTCTCCAGCTCTCCAGGCTGCAACGGGGAGGGTCTGTCGGAGCCCTCGCCAGTCACACGGACCAGGGTGGTCACCGAGTCGCTGGGGGTGGGATGGCAGACAAGGGCGCTAACACAGAGATGGTTCTGTGACTTACACACAACCAGGGGAGGGCCTGCCTCCTGGGGCATGTCTGAATGACACGGGAGACTGGCAGGTTCGGCCAGGATGACCCAGACAGGAGGCAGCCCTGGAAGCCCTGCCCGGGATTCTGTCTTGAGCTGGAATCAAAGTCACACACCATTTCATTAACAGAGTGGTGCCCAGGCTGTTTCTTGTTGTTATTGTTTTTGCTTGTTTTTAATTCACCCCAGGATGCTTTTTCCATTGAATTTTAGAGAGAGTGGGGGGGCGGGGAGAAACTTCTATGTGAGAGAGACACATCGATTGGTTGCCTCCCACACGCACCCCAACCTGGGCCAGGGATCAAACCTGCAGTCCAGGTGCACACCCTTGACTGGAATCCAACTTGTGACCCTATGGGCCATGGGCCAACGCTCTAACCGCTGAGCCACACAGGCCAGGGCTACCCGGGCTGTTTTGCGTTAAAAAGATAGTTTGGGGTGGATTCTCTTTTCTTCACGAGCCAGAGAAGCGGAGAGTGTGGCAGTGGGACCTGCAGCCACCTCTCGGGTGTCTCTCCTGGTCACTGACCTTGAGCTGTGCCCTCCATGTGCCCACGGCTCAGAACAAAGCCTCGGGCTCCACGGTGGCCACCTGGATGCCTCATCCCTGTGTCTCCTCACTGGCCCGGGAACCACTGGGATGCAGCCGAAAACAGACCCTCCTTCGGACTCCCCTTCAGACACAGATCTCTTAAATTCTGGGCGGACATCGCCAGTGCCAACCAGAGTCACAGCAATGCAGCGTCACGCTGGCAGGTTCCGTGGGAGAGCCCGTGCTGCCGGCCTCTACGCAGGTCTGGGGTCCACTCCCGGGGGGGAAGGCAGCCCCCCGCGGGCCCCAGGGAACTAGTGACCCCGCAGGATGTGGGCTTACAAGGAGGTGGGAGGGAGGCTGGCAGATGGCCCCTCACATTCTGGCCGGACAACTTCCCCGGGAAACATGAAACACACGCTGGGTCAAAACAAGGGTCTCCTTTCGCATCGTCCCTTTCCTGTGCCGCCAGAGGAGCCTTTAGGGCACAGCTGGCCTGGAGGGGGCCTGGGGAAGAGTCTCCACCTCGTGGGGTCCCTGGGGCAGGGCTTCCGGCCAGCTCTGCAGTGAGCGCCAGGGACCCCACCTCCCCTCCCCGCTGCACTGGGTCAGACACTGGTCCTCCGGTTCCTCTACCTCGTGTTTGCGTACAGAGAGCACTCAGCACATGCTCACGGCACAATGAACAGGAATCGTGGCGTCTGAGTTTCCTTTCTCGGGCTCTCGAGGTCCCCAGGGCCGCCAGGAGCTGTGCCTGGACCAGCTCCCGTCTCTCTCCAGCAGCACAACTGAACGCTTGGGCTTTCGGCCCGCGAGGCGCAGCTGTGGCCTTGGCCTCAGGGTCACCTGGAGTGGGGAGGCGAGTGGGACCCAGGCCAGCCGAGGCCCTGACCTTCCCTTCTCTTGGGGGCTGTCTCTGAACCTCAGACCTAACTTGTCATGCACCATGCAAAGGGGACCACCGAGTCCCCCTCGAGCCGGGACAGCTGACCTTGTCTTGCCTATGGAGATCCCAGTCCCTAGGCGAGTCTTAGCTCATCCTCTTCTAGAAAGCTCCTGTGCTCCTCCAGCGGGAGGGGTCCCTCCTCCTGGACCAACCAGAACACTCTGCCTTCACCCCACAGCCACTCACTCGCTTCCTGTGACAGCCAACGGTTCCCATACTGTCCCGTATCTGCCCACCCTCGGTGGCGGGACTTCGGCCACCTCCACGTGGGAGCAGCTCAGGAGGTGCAGGGGTCACATGTTGGGGCTGGAACAGCAGAGGGAGGGGGCACCGGGCGGGATGGGGTGCCCGCTGGGCACTGAGCTCACCTCAGACACATATCCGCCTCGTACTTCTTCCCGTAGAGGATTCCCAGCAAAGACGGGTTCTTGTTTCCCCGGAAATTCAGAGTGACATCATAGACGGCTGCGACTGAGGGGGCCGGGTGCAGGAGTGAGCTAGGCTGCTGCCTCACCCCTCGCCCCACAGAGCCCGCAAGCTTCACGTCGGGTGTGTTTCTTTGCCGACTCCCGTCTTTAGCTGGGTATTTAGCCGCCCGGCACCCACTGCGCACTGACATGCGTGCGTTCACACCCCTCTCCGCTGCCTCCTCCTGTCCTCGTTGTTCTCTGACCCTTTCTTTTCTTTTACCTCCTTTTGGGTTAGTTAAACACATATTTTTTCCTTTATAAGGTTTTCAGTGATATGCTTTTTATTATTTTCTATTAACTAGCATTTTATCACTTCGAAGATGATACGAGAATCTTACAGTATGTTAATTCCACGTAGGTTCTCCCTGTGCTGCCCTGTATTCTCCATGTACCTCACTCACGTGGCTTTTGACCGCTTTCACGCGGAGCCCAGAGGACCGGTGGCCCCAGCTCTCGGGGGCGCGGGCTCTTACCTGTCCCTCGCAGGCACTGGACTGCAGTGGTGAAGCCCTTGGTACGAGGCAGCAGGTGGTACTTGAGGGGAGGCAACCCCTTGGAGGCGGCCACCTCCATGCTGACGCGGTGCTTCTTCTCCGTGAAGCGCGTGCCCTCACAGTACAGGAGGAACTAGGACGTGAACACAGGGGCACAGGCTCGAGCGGCTCCCACGCCCGGCGCACCTGACAACGCCCCTCTAGTGACAAGCACGTGGCATGCTTGTAAATGTTTTTCCCTCCGAGAGCTACAATCTGCACGCCAGCCACACGCATTCCCTCACTGAACAGCTAACAGCATTGCAGACGCAACAGAGAACTTTCCAGAAGGGAGGACATGTGAGGGTCCCTGGCCACGGCCTTCTGGTTGGAGCACAACATGCACGCTGGAAGTGCTGGGGGAGGAGCCAGCTCGCACAGGACTGTGGGAGGGGGGGAGGCCAGAGAAGAGGAGCAGGAGAAATGGGAGGTGTGAAGGGACTGACACTGCTGATCCCAGCGGGCATCCGTCAGACTCATCTGAGGGGCCTGAGAACCCGCCCGAGCCCCAGACCCTGGCTGCTGGTACAGGTGGTGCCCCGTGCCCCGTGACTCTTCTACAGCTGAAGGAGGAACGTGCCCAGACCAGCAGGTCACGGGCTCACTCTGGAACCACCTCTAAGGAAGCCCTCCCTGTGGAGGCAGCCCCTCGGCCTGGGCACGGGCTGGGCACCCACTCACCTCTCCAGGGAACCCACTCTGCTGAGCAGGACCTCTGTGCAGGGAGGTGCCTCCCCCACTCCCAGCTCTAGGAGCCGGTGACCCCCAGGCCCTGCTGTGACTCGGCTCAGTGCCCACAGCGTCCTGCTGGCCTGGCCTTCTCACTCGTGACTCAGGTCACACTCACGTGTGAGTGGAAGTCAGCCAGTGCGGCCTCCTGTGCCAGGGCTGGCGTGTGCAGGGACTCACCCACATGTACTCAGGGTAGTCGGCCAAGCGCCTCAGCCCTTCGATGACAGTGTCCCGGTCCTCCTCCCACTTCCTCTTGCAGAACACGATCTCCAGGAAGTACCACGTCCAGCCGATGAGGGGCACACACAGCAGCTCCCTCTTGGCCAGCACTTTGGAGCTCTGCAGGGGGAGGGCAGCAGGTCATGTGTTTCAGGCCAGGTGTCCCCCAGGCTGCTGCAGTGACTTCACTGTCCACAGGGGCACCCTGACACTGAGTGTGGTGCCGCTGGGGCCAGCGTGACCCGAGAGTGTAGGTACCTACACGTCTTCCTTACAGATGAGGAAGCCAAGGCGCAGGCCTGGCCGGGGAAGGACGCAGCCGCCTGGACCGGCTGCAAGGCCAGGCCTCCCTGAGGAGGGCAGGGGGACCCCTCGGCCTGGCTCAGGGTGTCTACATGCACCGGGGCACCCAGCTCCCCCAGGAGGCTCTGGGGACTCCCGGGGTAATAAGTAAGGCTGATGAGAGGAGGGCAGGAACCACCAATCTCAGGAGACCCCTGGGGCAGCTGAGGGCAGCCTGCTGTCCAGGCCCTGGGACAGCCATGTGTCCAAGCTCTTAGCTCAGGGGCCAGGGGCTACTGGAGAGGGGGGACCCAGGCCCGAGAGAGCCATGCCAGCACCTCCCTGGGACCCCCGTGTTGCTGACCCCCACCCCTCCCAGGACCCCCACAACACTTACCCCCAGCACACCAAACCGCTCACACATGGTCCACCCGCAGAGGAAGTCGATCTCGAAGTTATGATTGAGGATGATGACCACGTGTTCCTTCCCCAAGCAGTCCATGGTGGCCTGGTCGGTGAACAGCGTGCACTCCGTGCAGGACCACCACTCCAGCAGCATGACCAGCTCTGCGGACACAGGGGCGTCGGTGGCTGCCCACTCCCAGACCCCACCCCCCCGGGCAGCGAGCACAGCCCAGGCCCGAGCTCTGACGTGGGCGGGGCGTTTCCACCATCTCATCCGGACTGGGCTTTTCTGCTAGAAATGAGTTTTGCTGGTTTACATTTAATAAAATAACTTTTGCTGGTTTATAATTACCTTCTCTATGCAAAAGGCGGGGTGGGGGAGGGGAGAATAATGAGACCTTCAAAAAGTAGCAGAAGAAACAGGAAAACCAGCATTTTAGATGGTTTTATCTTATTTTTAGTCATGATTCCCACATGTGCTGCGGTTTTGTGGAATATCACACATTTCATCCAAGGGATGGGGGCGTGTGTATGACCACACCGCCAGCCTGGGCCGGGGCCGGGGCCGAGGCCAGGGCCCTGAGAGGGGCCCTCACACAGCGCCGGGGCTCAGGACTGACACAGCACAGCCCTGTCTTTTTTCCCTTTATTGATTTTAGAGAGGGAGGGAGAAGGAGAGAGAGATGGAAACATCGATGAGCGAGAACATCGACTGGCTGCCTCCTGCGTGCCCCCCACTGGGGATCGGGCCCACAACCTGGGCATGTGCCCTGACCAGGAACTGAACTGGCCACCTCCTGGTGCATGGGTGGACGCTCAACCACTGAACCACACCGGCCAGGCACAGCCCTGTTCCTTTGTGCTGAACCCCAACACACCTGTTTTCCGAGGGCTCCGAGCCCTAGGGATGGAGGCCAGGGAATGGGGGTGGGTAGGACAGCCAAGTGGGTAGAGACTGGGCTCTGAGCCTCAGTTTCTCGATTCACAGAAAGGAAGTAAGAGTGGCTTCCTCCCAGGGCTACTGGGAGGACAGCACGAGCCATCAACACCCTTTAGCAACTTCCAGTCTGCCCATCAGACAGACGCAGACTGATCTCATGCGTATACACACAGACACAGCGCGCAGGTAACAGACACACGCCTACACACAGGTGTTTGACTCAGAGAGGTGAGACCGGGTGGAATGACGCCCGAGGGAGGGGTGCCTCGCAACGCTGCGGTGGGCGGCCCGGGTCAGGGGGCCTGGCCGTGCACTGGCGGCGAGTGGAGGACTGAGCTCGTGACTGCTTGTCTCCGAACCCCAAAGCGCTGTGCTCAACCACGTGAAGCCAGGGGTCAGAATGTCACTTGTTCACCCTCACGGCGAGTTCGGGTTGAGCATCTCCCCACGTGCCCTGCGTGGAGTAACCCGCCGGCCGGCCGCGCCCTCCGCCGCAGAAGCCTGCCCAGCCGCGCGGCCGGCGGTACTCACGGCTCCAGAGCGAGTAGGCGAGGCGGCAGTTCAGCCGGCGGTAGAGCTGCTTGTTCACGGGCCAGAGGACGAGCGTGCACAGCTGGGTGAAGTTGATGACCAGCCCGCTCACCACGAAGACGAACCCGATGAGGAGGTGCAGGATGAACTGGGTCTTCAGGTAGGCGAGCAGGCCCATGGTCACTACTCAGGCGCGAGTGCAGGGTCCTTCACTGAGAACAGCCGTCCTGGAAGGACAGGGACGGCCGTCAGGAGGTGTGCCGGGACCCAGGGACCAGAGCTGCAGGCGGAAGTGAAACCCGTGGTCCCCACTTCAGGGTCCCAGAGCTGCAGCGCCCGGGAGTGAGGAGCTCACCCATGCAGACTCAGGAGCTTTCGTTCTGCAGGTTAACACACGGGCGCACAGGGACCTGACACACGTCCCCTATCCTTGCGTCACACATGCTCATGCCACACACACATGCCATACTGCATACACACACCACACACGTGCATATACACCATACCACATACACACCCATGAACCACACACACACACACCATGTATATAAAGAAAGGAAGACTACAAGAAATGCACCCAAATATTTAATGTGAGTATCTCAAGGTGAAGGCATTATGGATAATTTCTTTCTTTCTTTCTTTCTTTTTTTAGTATCTTATTTAAAAGATTAAAACTAGCCCTGGCCGGTTTGGCTCAGCGGTTAGAGCATCGACCTGCGGTCCAGAGAGACCTGGGTTCGGTTCCCGCTAAGGGCGCGTACCTCGGTTGCAGTTTGTCCCCGGCCCTGGTTGGTTGTGCTGGTGGCAGCCACTCGGTGTGTCTCTTTCACATCGATGTTTCTCTCTCTCTCTCTGTTCTCTCTCTCCCTCCCACTCTACCTGAAAAAAAATGGAAAAATGTCCTCGGGTGAGGATAAAAAAATAAATAAAAAATAAAACTACACATGAAATCTCTATAAAAGCACATAAGTGCCTTCTGATTCCCAGGTTGTTGTGCACTTTTTTAAGCTAAAAGACTTTTGTTTTGGTTTCTAATACAAAAGAGGCAACTCCTACAAGAACCTAACTGGTTTTTCTCCCCTTCTCTTCAGCAGGTCTCTCAGCTGCAGAGGTGAGCCAGAGCTCACGTTTCGTGGTTGCACCTGCCGAGTCCCCTTGTGAGGACAGAAACACGGGGAAGCAGTGGTTCAACCCCTGGCAAGCTCGGAGCTGGCTCGAGACGGTGCTGTGGCCACCCTGCCCTGAGCCCTTCGGACGGTCCAGGGGGTGGGGCGGGGCTGGCCCAGGAGACAGCCGCACAGGCTCGAGCTCCCAGGGCAGGCCCTGCTGCCTTTGTGAGCCGAGCATGCGGGGGACCGGCCACCCCGCCGCTTGTACCCCTGTGCCTGGAGAATACGCTGACTGCCAGAAACTGTGCGTGTGATTTTCCGGGCGGAGTCAGAGAAGGGTCCTGGCCTGGCTGGCTCAGTGGGAAGCTGCTGCCACGGGAGGACAGCGGAGCAGGGCGTCCTGGACGTGGAGGGAGCCGAGACTTGTGGCAGAGAGGGAGCGCCGTGGAAGCTGGTCCCCAGGCCCAGTCAAGCCTGCAGATGTCCGCCCTGCCCGCCCAGCCGGCCGCGCCCGGACTGGAACCTGAGAAATGGGCAGTGAGGGTGTCGTGCTGTCTCACACCACTGTGTGCGGGGTCGTTTGTTATGCAGCATCAGAAAACAAGTTCAGACTTCCGGTCCAGATGGCGGGAGGTAAACGCGGTATCGAGTCCTCCCACAACCACATCAAAGTTACAACTAAACTACAGAACAACCATCATTCAAAACCACCTGAAATCAAGCTGAATGGAAGTCGTACAACTACGGAACTAAGAAAAAAAAAGCAGCTACATCCAGACCGGTAGGACGGGCGGCGGAGCGAAGGGGGGCGGCGGCGCGGTGGCGCGACGGGCTGGTCCCACACCCACGTGTGGTGGATAAAAATCAGGAGGCTCCCGCGGCTGGGAAGGTCCTTCCTGAGGACTGAGGGGTCCCCGTCCCACACCAGGTGCCCCGTTCAGGGTTCCAGTGCCAGGAAAAGAGTCCCCATAACTTCTGGCTGGAAAACCAGCGGGAACTGAGGCTCAGGGAGGCTGACGCAGCTGGAGCCCCAGGCAGCTCCTTAAAGGGCCCGCGCACGGACTTATCGGACTCTCTCCCTCTAAGCTCGGAGGGGAGGCAGCTCGAGGGGCGCCAGAGACACACAGGGAAGAACTGAGCTGTTTGGCACTGGAGCGAGGGCTGGAGAGGGGGCTTCCTCGGGGACAAACGTGCTGTCAGAGGCCTTTGTTCCTTTGGTGAGCCCTTCCCTGGGGCGGCAGACAGAAGCCATATCCGGGACTCCAGCAACCTGGCTCACACTGGGAGCCCCGCCCTGCTGACTCCCTGAGGCCCCGCCCCACCCAACTTTCAGGCCCACCCAAGCTGTTGCCACTTGCTTAACCATAGGATTGGCCGGTCTTGGATCCTGCTTCAGGTTTTTCCTAAATTCTTTCAAACGAGCAGCATCTGGTCTCAGCTAGCCCCATACCTCTCATTAAGTAATACACTGAAACAAACACAGGGAGGCAGCCAAAATGAGGAGACAAAGAAACCGGTCCCAAATGAAAGAACAGAACAAAAACCCAATAAAAGAACTAAGCGAAAGGGAGATAAGCAACCTAACAGATACTGAGTTCAAAATACTGCTTATAAGGATGCTCAATGAACTCAGTGAGAACCTCAGTGAACTTAGGGAGAGCCTCAAGAGCATAAAAAAGGACCAGTTAGAAATCATGGATACACAGTTAGAATTAAAGGAGGCATTAACTGAAATAAAGAATAATTTACACAGCTTCAATAATAGAGTATGTAAATCCAAGGAGCAAACCATCGATTTGGAATATAAGGAAGCAAAAAATCCCCAATCAGAACAGCAAAAAGAAAAAAGAATCCAAAAAAATGAGGAGAGTGTAAGGAGCCTCTGGGACAACTTCAAGCGTGCCAACATTCGCATCTTGGGGGTGCCAGAAGGAGAAGAGAGAGAACAAGAAATCAAAAACCTGTTTGAAACAATAATGGCAGAAAACTTTCCTAACTTGGTGAAGGAAACAGACATACAAGTCCAGGAAGCACAGAGAGTCCCAAACAAGATGAACCCCAAGAGGCACACACCAAGACACATCATCATCAAAATGCAAAAGGTTCAAGACAAAGAGAGAATCTTAAAAGCAGCAAGAGAAAGGCAGCTAGTTACCTACAAGGGAGTACCCATTAGGCTGTCAGCTGATTTCTCAAAAGAAACTTTGCAGGCCAGAAGGGAGTGGCAAGAAATATTCAGAGTGATGAAAACCAAGAACCTACAACCAAAATTACTCTATCCTGCAAAGCTGTCATTTAGAATTGATGGACATATAAAAACTTTACCAGACAAGAAAAAGTTAAAGGAGTTCATCACTACCAAACCGTTATTATATGAAATGATGAAGGGTCTTTTTGAAGAAAAAGATAAAATGTATGAACAAACAAAATGGCAATGAATACATATCTATCAACAATGGAATCTACAAACAAAATGAACAGGAAGAACAGAAACATTCTCATAGATACAGAAAACATTTTGTTGGTTGCCAGTTGGGAAGGGGGTTGGGGGAATGGGTGAGAAAGGTGAAGGGATTAAGAAGCACAAATTCATTGCTAGACTGACGAACCTCAAAGGGAAAGGGGTTGGGGGGTTGGGAAGAAATAAACCAAAGAACTTATATGCATAACCAATGGACAGAGACAATAGTGTGGGAAAAGGTGGGAGGGGGGCAGGAGTGGGGAGGAGGGGGTCAATGGGGGAAAAATGTGGAACATCTGTAATACATTTTACATCCAAAATAAAGATTTGAAGGAAAAAAAAAAAAACAAGTTCATTATTCTAACGATTAGAGTAACTCGTACACTTCACCAACGCCCATTTCCAGCAGCAGACAACACTCCACGGATCAGACTTAATTTAATTTTATTTTATTAATTTATTTTTGTATCCTCACCAGAGGACATTTTTGCATTTATCTTCAGATACAGTGGGAGGGAGAGAGGGCGGAAGAGAGAGAGAGAAACATCGATGTGAGAGAGACACAGCGAGTGGCTGCCGCCCACACGACCCCAATTGGGGCAGGGACAAACTGCAACCAAGGTTGCGGGAACCGAACCCAGGACTTTGGTCCACGGGCCGATGCTCTAACTGCTGAGCCAAACCAGCCAGGGCGATCAGACTTAATTTTAGTCCAGCCTTTGTGTAAAATGGTATCACACAGTGCTACTAAGTTGTATTTTCCTGGTTACTGTAACATCAGATTCCCACACTGCAGGTTCTTGGGCTCTAACCTCCCTGTGTTACCTGTGGGGACACTGAGGCCCAGAGGGGCCTGAGAGGCTTTAGGGACTGCAGTTCAAGACGAGTGAGGCCATAGCAAGCCCTTGGCCACAAGCCACTCCTGATGCGTGGGTCTGATGTGTTCCCTTGAGCAAAGGCCTGGAGCCCAGCTCCCCTTCCCCCAGCACCGCGAGTATATAGGAGCCGGGTGGCCCCTCCGCCGGCCTCTTTTATCTGGAGAGGAACTGGTCAGGACCTGGAAGGCAGGGACAGCCAGCCCGTCCCCTTCCCATGGCGCCTTCTCCTTCATGTAAGATGCCGTTGCTGAGATGGTGAGGACGGCTGGCCTGCTTCTAAGTCCCTTCAGCGGATAATGGGTCAGGCTGCTCCAGGAGCCTGGCACCCCTACAACACGCCAAGGCTGCGGTGGCTGCCTGCTGGACACGCTGCGAGGGTCCCACGCTCTCAAGGCCAGGGACACGCTGCATGCACACCCTCCCCAGAGGGCATACAGGGTGGTGCCACCCTCCTGGGGACAGGCTACTGGCGACTCGAAGAGAGGGGGTGAGCCAGGTGGCTCGGCAAGGCTGTGCTAGAAAGAGCTGCACAGAGGTAAACCTGAGAGAGCGGCGGCTGGACATCAGGGGACCCCAGTACCACCCAGGCAGAGAGGCTCGGCCCGGAGAAGCCGGCGGCAGTTCCGCTGGGCAGGAAAGGCTGAGCACCCGAGCCAGGCCCCCCTCCCTGCTGCAGCCCTGAGAAGCGGGGCCCTCGGCGGCTCTGATGCTCTGTCTCTCCAGGTGCTAATTCTGGGCCTGTGGCTTCCGTCGCCCGGCTCCTGCTCCTGCTCCAGGCC